GGGATGTTTCCGCGGACTTGTATCCGCGCGAAAAGGGAGGAGAGGGACTGGAGAGGGATCGCAAGAGGAGCGCGGCGCGGGGTCTTGTCTACTCGAGGAGGGGGGCGACAGCGAAAAGGGAGAGGAGCGGGTGAGGGCAGCAGAGGAGGGGGAGAGGGGCGGAGTAGAAGGGGGAGGAGGGGGGAGAGGAGCGGGGGAGGGCGGCAGAGGATAGGGAGAGGAGCGGGGAAGGGCTGCAGGGGGGAGGGGGGAGGAGAGGGAGGACAATTTGCAGGAGGATAGCAGATTACTTCCCTCTCAAGGGGAAAGGAGGGGGTGAGGAGGGGAGAGGGAGACTACCGTGTTCACCCCAATAGAGCGCCCGGTCATTATCGCTGTATCTAGACTGAAAGCTGACCCAAATACAGCTATAATCACCGGGGCGTTCTATTCGGGTGAACACGGCTGGGTCCCGGCCCCGGCATGCGGATCCATGCCAAAGGAAGGAAAGAGAGGGCAAAAGAGAGGGAGGAGGGAGATAGGAGGTAAACAGTGCTCTGTATTCGAAAAGGACGAGGAGAGGGGCCGGTCAGCTCAATGATGGTATCTCGAGACCATCGCCCTTTTTTTTTTTAAAACAGAAGAAGAAAAGAAAAGGACGAGGACTGTAGGGAGGGGTTTGGTCGATCTAAATATTCAATAGAATTAAGCAGTTCAGTATGTATAGATGTATAATAATTATAATGTTATGATACCACGTGGCTGGCCTTGTACGTAAGAGGTTATGAACAGGTGGAGCTTTCCTTACCTCTTCCCCTTCCCCTTCTTTCCTTTTCCTTTTTTCTTTCCTTTTTTTTTTTTTTTTCTTTTTTTCTTTTCGCTTCTGCGCTCTGATTCACAATGTGACAATATATATAATTATAATGTTATGACATTTATATATATTATGTGACAATATATAATGTTATTGATATTTATATATAGCAACCATGATTGTCCGCCGTTTGCTCTCGCGTGGTCATGCTCCGTCAACACTGGCCCGTGGATGGACTTGTTACATTCGAGCTCGCCAGCGTCGACATCCAATACATGTAACTCGCCTTACACAATGGTTTCGACGTATGCTTCGCTGGTCCGTGCACCATCCTCTTCC